GGGTTTGATGATTAGTGGTGTCCCATATATTAACACAAATAGTGTAGACTGTGGCAGGAGTAATGCCATAGGGGAAGGGAGAGTTATTCACATAGGCTAATGTTAGCTTTATGCAAACTAGCTCCCTGGTTGTATCTGTAGTTTGTCAAAGGAGATAGGCTTTTCCAGGGGATGATTCAAAGTGGCTAATGGTTACCACTCTAGAGAAGCTTTTTTCCTCTCCATTAACTTTAGATGGGATTAGCCTCCCTCAGCTAACATTAGCCCAAGTGAATAGTCCTCTAGATGTTGTCACCAGTGTGGAAAAAAAAACCAATCCAAAAACCAAAAAAACCAAACCATCAATGTCACTTGATGTTATCGACTCCTTTTTTTTTTTTTTTTTTTTTAAACTATGATGCAATTTCTGATAAAATAAATCTGGATTTTATTCTCCTTTTTCTGGTCTAAGTAAGCAGTGATTGTTACCAGTGAAACTGAGAGGGTGTAAATAGAAACAGAATAGTTTATGTTGAAAGGAACCACTGGAGGTTCCTGGTCTGATCCTTTTGCAAGCAGATTCATTCTCAAAAATCCTGGTGCAACGAAATGTAAGCTTTTAGAATTACAAAGTATATCCAGAATAGTCCATCACATCTTTAAGAGTGAATACTGGCTGCATCTATGGCAGATACTCTACTGTCAGACACAAGTATTAGACCAAAACACATGGATAGATGGGGCTGAAGGTGTTGTTCAGTGTTGGCCTGTTCTCTCACAGACATCCTGTGGTCACATGCATCCCTATCTCTTCTCTAAGTGGTTTCTCTGTCATTCCTGATAAAAGAATACCTTTCTCTTCCACTTATATGCATGAGGAGTGGACATCTTTTAATGCAGGAAAATGAAGAAGATTATATGATTTGATGTCAGAAGACATTATCCCACAAGTATCAGACTTCTGATTTGCTAAACTTCGGCACTTTAGAAATACAGCCAAACATCAGTCCTTAACACCGACCTTCAGTGTGACACATGCAGTCAATAAAGGCAGAAGATGGAATCAGGTATTTCAAAAAGGCCAAAATGAAAAAAAAAAAAAGGAAAAAAAAGAAAGAAAATATAAACCTCTTCATTTACTAGTGCTGTGTTGGCAGAGCTCCTTTAATTTGGGGTGCCTCGCTTTTCAAGAGTTATTTACAATGAGAGCAGAGCAGCAACCACAAGAACTCCATTTTAAACCTGATTTTTCAATCTCTGTTGCTGCCTTTCAATGCTTGAAAGCCTTTGTGCATTTATTGCCAGGCTGGGTAATTACAATCCTGCATTTTGCTCGACTTGTGTTTCCCAGTTTCACCTGTATTTCGTCTCTTCAAATAGCTCTGTTATTTCTGACTGATTACTAACCATTCCTCTGTGTGTCTGATCCATCTGAATAGCAGAAGATATCTCCACATGAAGCAGAGACTCTTACATTCCATGCTCTGATTACACAGAAAACACTCCTAAAGATTACACAGTAATACATAAGCAATACTGCCATAAAATACAGCCCCTCATTCTACAAGCAAGCTGATTAAACCCATGAGAACTCACACGCACAAGACCTCCAACAAGCTTTTGCCTTACAAGTAATGCTTTACTGTGTCTGAAGTTTCCTTCTGATTTGTAATGGAGAAGCATGCAGTAGTTCTGCAATTATGTGGTTAGAATCAGCCAAGTAACAACTGTACTTTCGGTCAGAACAATGAATGCAATCATGAAGCAATTAGTGCAGGCAGCAGATGGTTTGCTGCTCTTTTTTTCTCTAGACTGGAAGGAAAAAGCCATGATTGAATAAGGGACTGGTCTGTCAGAAGTGGTAATTCAAGTCTGCTGCCCAAGGCAGAGACACGGGAGATATGTGAATGAAAGTCAACAGCCACTGAACCTTAAGGAGTTGTTGCTCATCAGCAGAACCCCAGTAATTAACAACATTCACTCATAAACAACACCCAAGAAAGTGGGACATAAAATTACTTCAGTTAAAACAGATTTCCCTATCATTCAGTAAATCCCTATTCAAACAAACAAACAAAAAAGATCTTATCATAGTGATAGGCTCAGTGGGCTGTGAAGAGCTTGAGGGACGATTCTATGTGACCCATTTCCTGTTGATTACAACTGAGCAATGAGAGGCATGCACTACTGCTGGCTTTGCCCTCATCAGTCCTGAATTTGATGGATCACCTCTGAGAACAAAAGCAGTCCAGATCCAATGCAATTCCTGTCTCTCCAGCTCCTGCTCATATTCACCACCTGATTCTCCTGGTCCCATTTGCTGCAATGACATGATGCAAGTGGATGACAACAATCATGTTGCAAGAAGGGTGCAATCATGTTTTCTGGTTGATTCTCACCTCCCTCCTGTCAACAGCAAAATTAAATGACTGTGCTAACCATTACTGGTCAACATCCAACTCACTCTTTGAAGTCCCTATCAACAACACCTTCACTGAACCTTGAATCAGTGGCATCAAAGTTAGTGGCATCGAAATGTAAATTCTTCACCATGCAGATATGTTTCCCTTGCCTCCCTGGGTGACTCTTAGTCAGTATGCACACAGTGCCTGGAATCCAAGGAGTAATGGGTTCCCTTTCCTTAAATATGGTCTTAGAATAAGATCAGGAAACAGCTAACAGCAGTGTCATTTGTTCCAAAGTACCCCACAGCTCCCATTGCAATTATCTAAATACCTGCAGGACCTCTTAATTACTCTCAGAAAATTCTGCCTTTGGATATACAAACATGAAACCAATGAGAGTCATTTACACTTAGCCATAGGCTGAACTTGACCCTTGGTTTGAGTTACATTTAATTTAGTCCAAGCTGATTAATACTCTTTGCCTGCTGGTTACCCTCTACAGTTCTTGGCCAAAGCTTGTTAAGTCAGAAAATGTATCCATTAGGCTTTAAAGTAGAAACCAGGCCTGTGACTCATACCCATTCAGAGTACTTTTAAAATTCTATTTTGAAGTGAATTGGTACAGATCTACAGACTTTGTGCTACCTGATTTTTGGCTTGCAACTACAGTACTGAATTACCAACAGTTATCCAATTTGCTAATCAACACCATAGAAAAGAAATTTTATCACAGCCTACAGCCTCTCACCCCAAACACCCCATACACCCAACTCCAACCCCATAAATTTAGGTTAACCCACGAATGGACCCTTTGTTCTTATATCCATATTGGTTTTTAGGATTCTATACAAGTGGGAGTTTCCTACAGAATGGTGTCAATACTTGTTGGTTGCCATCTATCATAAATTGAATAAGACTTAGCTGTATGGCCTCTAATTCAGAATTATTTCCTGATCAGACTGAACACCATAACAACTGAAATAAATTTTCTACTATATCATACTTTTATTTGATAAAGTTCCCACTGAAAGTTTCATTGCCCTTCATGTAATAAATTTTCTGTTTACTAACACACAGTAATATTCATTCCAATGAGTCCTAAAAAGACATCAGAGACCAGCTTCTGTTCTGTTTCATATCAGTCCAGAGAACTCAACAGTCACAAGGGAAAGGAAACATTCTGACTTTGTCTAATTACATACTGTACACCCAGAAATAATTTAATCTGCACCTTCCTCTGAACAGAGTATGACCACAGTACACTCTACAAAATGCTGTGAGAGGAATAAGAGAAAAATACCGTACGCAATTGGGAAGAATGAGGTGGAGAAGATGCATTTCTCAGTTGCAAAGGATATTATGCTACAGTCCTGGAAGGTGTTGAATTTAGAATGCAGGACTGAAATATTCAAAAAATTTCAATAAGATCATTTTGTGACCTAACCTACTTACTTAGTTATAGTTTTATTTTCTCAGGCTTACAGTAAGAGTAACAACGAGACTAATTTATGCAGAAGGAAAATTAGTTGTTCAATGCCTTTACAATTAATTAAAATACGCAGATGCAAAACATCATAGAATTCAAACTTTTATGTTGATGCTTACATTACCATATAACGAACAATTCAGCTAATATAATTATTGCTTAGACTCAACAAATTTTTTTTGTCTTTCCAGTTTTATTGAAAAATGTCAAAATGACAGGATGTGAAATCTGCCATTTCTCAGAGCAGTTTGCTCCAATGGCTAGTTACTTTAGAGCAGAGTTTGTGTGCCATTGACTCCTAACCACCAAAGTTTGTTAGAAGTTTTTATTGCTGGACCAAAACGCTTACTCCTATGTTTTGTCTTCCCCCACAGAGATATTTATGCACAACCATATAGTTTTCCTTCAATCTTTTTGTTAAACTGAACACATTGAGGTCTATCAAGTCCTTCACTGGAAGACAACTCCTTGTGAGTATTGATGTGTCTGATTTTCAAAAAGTTCTAACAGTGAGTTCTCCAAAGAAAAGTTTTGTGTTGTTGTGTTAGGCTGGGCAGCAAAAAATCACGGCAAATCTCACAGCATATTTATTTGGCCGATGGATTACCTGTACTGAAGGAACTGGACTTCAAAGAAAATTGATTCACTGCTACTTTTTCTCTTAGAAAATCAAAGGCTACTTGAAAATACGCCAACCAGATAGGAACAAGGATTGTCTTTTACTGTTCTTGGAGCTGATGCTAGGCTGGAGCAACAGAATTGTCAAATAAGAGGACAAAAGCCTCATTAGAGGGTGTTATTCCTACAATGAAGGATCCTAGCTGTCTTCTTTGCCCATTGCCTGTCAAACAATATTGCGAAAAGGACAGATGACTAAATGCAGACTGCCAGATAAGTAATTGAGGGCTAGGCCCCAAGAACACAATATATACCCATGTCCTTTACTTTGACCTTTAAATTAAGGCTTGCTCAATGTTTTCTGCTTGGAAATACCAAACTGGTGTTTCCAAAGACTGCCCTGGTATCACCCTCAAGACCACCTAAATGTTCTATAGCAGTTACACAAAGAGATGGAGAAATCCCAAGTTCTTCCTAAACAAACAAAGCAAAATGCTGTCAACAATTCTTACCTTCTGATCTTGGCTGTAGGCTAAGATCCAATCTTCCTGCTTGGGGTGGAAGAGCAGACTGTGGATGTAGAAGTTCAGACGGTATTTTTGATAGGTGGCTCCTTCATCAGAACTGATTAATAAGCTGCTTTCAACTTCCGGATCAGTCAGCAGCATAATCTGTATGGAAGGGAAAGATGAAAATACAGTGGTGAAGTCAGTGATGGAAGAGTAAGCAAGCAGCTAGGAACTATAGAAAACCTTATTAAATATGGCTATTTCAAAATGTTTCAATGTAATGTCAAAACTGCCATAGCCAATATTTCAATAATTAGAACAGTATATTTCAGCTATGCATATAAACACATGACATACGACCAAAAAAGAAGAATGACTTTACCACTAGTTAAACCAGATCGAAATGAAGCTATGCTTAATTATTTGAAAAATTAAACCTGAAATATTTAACACTAGAGCACAAAGTTACTAAGTTACCAGACAGGCACAGTGGGGTGCTGGGGTCTTCAAGAATGATTTATTAGAGTGGCAGACAAAAACATGTTAAGAAAAAGAGAAAAACAAACAAACAAAACAAAACAAAACAAAAACAAACAAAAAAAAAAAACAGAGAGAGTGACACATTTGAGAAGGATCTCTAATGGTGAGTTTTGTTAGACTCTACCAGAAATTTCAGAGAAGACAGTTTCATTGCCTGAAACATTATAGCCTGGCTGTCTGCAACAAGCAATCTTGCTCTGGCAGGAGAACACATCTGATAACATGATGGGTTCTTTCCATCTCCAGTTCTGTGAATTACAGATTTGGTAGTATATAAAAAATAATCTCTGCATAGTAAATTTGCTTTCTAGCTTTGTCCAGGAGTGTTAGTTTAGCAGTCACACAAGATATACAGCTCGTAGTTGTAGTAGGTACTTCTCCCCATTAACTGTGGTATTAATTGGTCTGCACTGCTGATGAATCAGAGAGAATAATGAGTTACTGCTCTCATGCATCTCTGCATGAGAGAATGTATAGGTCTAATCAGTAAAAAAAGATCATTCCAGTATTTCAGCAAGCAACAGGGTAATATCCCTAAGGAATGGGAATGAGGTATCATGACTGAAAATCATGAAAAGTTCTAAAGAATATTTGCCCGGAAATGTATTAAAGCCTTGAATCATTAGGATTTTTATTTTATTTTTTTCTAAGTTGCTCTGCAAATGGCAAACACTGATTTGGTTTTAGACAAGCCTGAAATGAAAGGATCCACACCTGACATTTCTCAGAGCAAATTCCTATCTCGGTTTGAGCATTGTAAAAATCACACACTCCACTTCCTTCTCTTCTTTCATTTAGGCAGGCAGAGTTAGACATAACTCACTACCCTATGAATTATAAGGAGATATAGCATCTGGTATCTGATATACAGCAGATGCTAAAGAACTATTTGTATGTGAAGGTGTAAATACACATATAATCTACACAGAATATCTCCTTCATTATTGTGCAGCTGCCAAATGTTTTATTTTCTATCTCTAGAAACCTCCTTGGTAGCACAATTTGGCCTGTGATTTACAAGTCTGGGGTTCTGCAAAATCCCTGAACTTTCTGATTAATCTGAATTATCGCAGTTACATTACCCCACTGTATCTCTAACATAAAATAGGATAGGGTTCCCATTGTAGCAAAAAGTTAGTCTCCTATCATATCTCTGATTTATTTTAGAAATTTGTGATGAAAACATGCATTATTATACATTTTTATTTTCATTTAACACTTCCAAACATACCAAGCATATTGTTGATGTGACTTCTAAACTGAAGATTGTACGATAGAAGCTACACAGAAAGGATTAATAATCAAAATATCAATATATATATATATATAATCTACTGCCACTAAGTAGGCTAGCTTCTGAAGCCAAAAATTAATTACAATGTTGTTTATCAGTTGGTTCTTTTTTTCTTAACAGACTAATTTCTGGAACAATGTTCCTATGTTTAACATTTATTGATTCAGTACTACGATTCAAGTATTATGATTTTCCTATTTTTATTACTTCCCTCTTGAGTGGATTTTGTTTATGTTAGTATTTGGAAATATCACAGCACAGCACTAATTTGGACTAGAGCAACTAGAGCAGAAATAAGCACAAATCAATGGGCTTGATCCGAGCTCCCCGAAGTTAATAAGAGTCTTGTCATTGACTTTGGATTGTGCCTCTAAGGCAAGTTGTTAATCAAGATCCAGTCTAGTCTCAAATATTTCCTTCTGCCTGCACAAGGAACTCATCTGACCTCATCACTGCCACATCCAAGCACATCATTCCCTCAACACATTTTCTGTTAGGCCACTCCTCTAAAGTGCAAAAGTGCTCTTATCTGCATTTCTTAGAAACGGGAATCCAGGGATAAACTCTTGAGGCACTGAAGCACCTAATTCCTCATCCAATCAATAAAAGTTAAGTGCCTGAACAGACTTGCTTACACTGCTGACTTTGGCTTTAATCTGCTCACTTCCATGCTGGGCTATTAGTATTTTGTTTTCAGATCTCCAAAGGCCCTGGTTATTGCACTGTGATTACCAGCCATTCTGTACCTAAGAAGAGTTTCAGGACACACCAGTTTTGCCACACATGCCAACAGCAATAGCACCTTAGACGTGGCAGAGCTGTGCTGAACTGCTGCAGGTTTATGGAAGGGAACACCGAGAGTCATAGACAGGGGAGTGAGTTGATGGATGACTCCAGCCACTTGTACCCTGTATTACCAATCACTTTGCACAGATGTCATAAGACAACACAAGGTAGAGCTGACTATCAGACACTACTCACATCACAGTCATAACACCACGTTTCTTACAAGATAAGGAAAGCAAATTTCATTACGACATATCTGTGTGTAAATAATCAGAGTTATAAGCCCAAAAGATAGCATTTACTGGAAAAGCAGAATAAATTGATACCTGCATGAAAAATACATCAAAATGAGAGTAAAATGCCGTATGTTTATCTACATAAACATTTCAGATCAGACCAGGAGTGTGCTTCTGAAACTAACCCTTCCAAATCTGGGGGGAAAACTCTATAGCAAGTCCTTACACATTGTGTTCTGACTCACACCACAGTGATCTGAGAGGACAGGAGCTGCATTCCTCTTCAAGGACACTAAATCAGAACATACCCTGTCCATGGCAGGGGGTTAGAACTAAATAACCTTTAAGGTCCCTTCCATCCCAAACCATTCAATGATTCAGTGATACATTTCAGGAGTGCATCTAATATTTTCTAACCACTACTGGACACTCAGATCAGAGTATCAAGTTAGCACTAAAGTCAGACCCTCTGCCTCCTAAATGCCCAGATTGCAGATGTCATCTCAATTCCAACCATTTTATTCTACAAACACACTTCCACTGAGCTGCACTACATGGTAATGTGGTTGTAGTCACATTAGTTTAGTTTTATTGCCCGAGTTGCCTGGAATATAAACGAGAAAGGAGGGAAAGTACAATTAATTTTAATGCTTTTGTTGTTGCAGCATATGAAATACAGAGCAAGTACATTTCAGAATTTCCTTTGAAATAAATTAATCCAATTTCTTCTTTGAAGTAGTCTTATTACCCATTGACTTGATGCAGTTCCTTATACAGAAAATAAAACTGGACACAGACGTGTTAAACAGGAAAAGCAAGAAAGCCAAAACCAGCAATGATAACAAAAGTGAATCTAAGTTTAGGTGCCATATCTAAGAATATGTAAGATAAGAGATCATAAAGAAACTATTTTTATAATTTTCAACTTTACTGTAGAAAGCATGCTGAATTTCCTGAAGTGTGAGTTCCTCAAAGGAGTATCAAACACCTTGTTCTGTTTCCACGGTGCCTAACACAACATATTTCTGCTTTCCCAGCTAACACTGGGGTTTGGATGAGTATATTCTGAATATCCCTGAGGAATCAACATGACCTTTGTACATGAAAATGACACCTTAAATCTATCCAGGTCCTTAGAGCCTGTTGGGAAAGACAACCTAGCTAATGAAGTCATACAGGATTTTTGAGATATCCCCTTGCCAAAGGATCTAAAGTTACCATGGGATAAACGCCTGGAAAAGACCTCTAAGATTAAAGAGTCCAAAGTAACACTGCCAGGTCCAGCCCTAAACCATGTCCCCACACCTACACACTTTTTGAATGCTTCCACGGAGAGTGATTCTACCACTTCCCTGAGCAGCCTGTTCCAATGCTTGACCACTCTTTCAGTGAAGAAATTTTTCTAATATACAATCTAAACTTTCTCTGGTCCAACTTCAGGCAGTCTTCCCTTGTCCTACTGCTTGTCATCTGGGAGAAAAGACCGACACCCACCTGTCTACATAAATAATAAAAATATCATCAGATCAGGTGGGCTGATCTAGCAACTTCTTCTGTGATGAATTGGGCCCATGATTTTTATTTTGACAGTTTTTTAACTACCTCTGATTCCACCAAAAAAAGGTATAGTTATTAATGCAGGAGTAGGAAGAGCCATACTCATCTGCCTCTCACTTTCAGTAAAAGCCCTTTGTAGAGGGAGACCAACCTTAGAGTGCCTCTGGTGTGGTTTATTGTTTGTCTTTTGTTAAATGAATATGAAGAGTGAGTATGAACCAAGACTCTACCTCTCCCCAGCAAAAGTAATTGTTCTCTGTTCAGATCAGTGCTCAGCAATGATCAGAACCTGCTTATTCACACCAGGCACAGCAAGCACACGCTGCACTTCCTGATGGTCCAGATGGATTGGGTTTTTTCTCTAAAAAAAAGTCAATATAGTCAACACAGGCTTTTGCAACAAAATGCAAGGCATCCATTAATCATTTACACCCCAAAAAGGAAGAAACTTGATCTGCTTCTCTTATAAGTGACAAATGAACACAAAATATAATTTATAGATCTTAACCAGTCCTCAGTTTTTCACCCCTTTTTTGATGCTAACTCTGCTGATGACAGATTTCTCTTGACAATTATGTGCATTTTTGCTGTCCTCACAAAAAAAAACCAGGAATCATTAGCAAGAGGATTCTGATTTTGCTTCTACAGATAGAATTGGGATCCTTGTGTAACTGCCCTAAATGCTAGATTTAGTGGTTTAGTAAAAAGAGTCCAGAACTGCCCTCAGTCTTTTATTTTGGCCAGTGATA